CATCGCCCGCAAGGTCGAGTCCCTGGGCATGGCCATGCTGCGCCCCTCCCAGGGCCTGGAGGCTCTCGAGCGAGTCCTGTCCTCCCCGGCCCTCCCCGGCCGCGCCCTCGGCGCTATGGGTGCCGCTGCCCGCCTGCCGCCGCCGGTCGCACCAGCGGTGCCGTTCCGGTGGCGTGTGCTCTTCAGGGGCGGCCGGCAGGCCCCTGAGCTTTTTGAAGAGGTCAGAGTCGACTTTGAGTCCCGCCAGCGGCACCAGCCAGCAGTGGCGGGCACCGGCAAGCAAGGCACCTCTGCGACTTCCCAGATGGCGCGGCTCGCCGCTGCAGGGGCTGCGGCAGAGCCCGCGCGGGAGCTGGAGGGGCGGGCGCTGCGGGAGGTGCTGGAGGCGGTGGCGGGGGTTTTGGGACGCCAGGTGGGCTTGGCAGTACGTGCACGGGGGTTGCCGGGGCCTGCGATCATGATTGTCGCTAAGCTGGCAAGTGGACTAGTATCACTGGATGAACTATTTAAGGGGCACCATTAAGTTATGTTACAGTGCATCGTACATGTGAAGCCCAGGAGACGACACACAACATCCCGCCTGTATTGCCCTGATTAACACAGGTTGCTCCTGACGAGCCGCTGATGGCGGCTGGCCTGGACTCCCTGGGCGCGGTGGAGCTGCGCAACGCGCTGGAGGGCCGCCTGGGGCTGCAGCTGCCGGGCACCCTCATCTTTGACTACCCCAGCAGCGGGGCAATCGCGTCCCTCGTCGCACCGCGGCTCGCGGTCGCCCCTCAACCCCGGGTCCCGCCGCCCTCATCAGGCGCGCGGCGTGTGGCCGAGCCTGCAATTCCCGGCGCTGCCGAGACGCCGTCCCTCGACGACCTCCGCCGCCAGGTGGCGTCCGAGGTTTCGTCCATCCTCGGACGCCAGATCGCCGATGACGCGCCGCTGATGGCCGCCGGCGTCGACTCCCTCGCGTCGGTCGAGCTGCACGGCGCGCTGCAGGCGCGATTTGGCGTCCCCCTGCCGGCCACGCTGGCGATCGACCACCCAACGGTCGCGGCTGTTGCTGCCCTGATCCACGCGCGCCTTGCGCCACGGTCAGCCGCGCGCCACGCCGCGGATGCGCCGGCGTTTGTGGGCTCGCCGCCTGTCGTGGCCGGCGCCGTCCAAGGGGCAGCCGCCGCCGCCGGCCCGACGTCGCTCGTCGCAGTCTGTGGGCTTGCAGCCCGCGTGCCGGGCAGTAGGGGCAGCCACAGCAGCGTCGGCAGCATAGCCGCCGTTGCGCCCCATAGCGACGCAATCGCGGCCGTGCCCCTTGAGCGGTGGCTGCCAGAGGACTACGCCTGGATGTCCGACGGCGCCCCTGCCCGCTTCGGCAGCTTCCTGGCAGCTTCCGTCGCGCCAGCCGCGTTCGACGCCGCCGCGTTCGGGCTGTCCGAGGGAGAGGCGGCGCTGGTGGACCCGCAGCAGCGCCTGCTGCTCGAGGCCTTTTACGAGGCCGCCGCGGGCGCCGCCGCCGCGTCCGCTGGCGACAGGCCGGCGGCGCAGCTGCTGCCAGCGCATAGTGATGGCGGTGGCGCCGACTGTGGGGTGTACGTGGGGATTTCGGCCGTCGATTATCTCCGCCTGTCCACGCGCCTGGGGCTGCCCATCACGGCTTACAGCGCGACCGGCGGCCTGTCTCTCAGCGTGGCTGCGGGCCGCCTGTCCTTCACCTTTGGACTGTCCGGCCCGGCCCTGGCGATCGACACCGCCTGCAGCAGCAGCCTGGTGGCCGTCCACACGGCCTCGGCGGCGCTGCGGCTGGCGCACTGCCGGGCTGCGGCGGCGGGCGGCGTCAACCTGACGCTCATCCCCGACACGCCGGCCATGTTCCAGCGGGCAGGTGAGCATCCGCTTGTTTGGCTGCATCAGTGCCTCGCACCCGCACGCTTGCCTCTGATTGCTTTCAGGGGAGTTTTCACTGTATATTCCTGGACAAACATTGTCAGCGGTTCCTGGCACTGTTTCCACTTTTCAACTGCAACCCTGCCCTCTGCGCTCGACCAACATTTATCATCCAGGCATGCTGTCACCAGACGGCCGCTGCAAGACGATGGACGCAGCCGCAGACGGCTACGTGCGCGCAGAGGCCGTGGGCGTGATGCTGCTGCAGCCGTTTGCGGCTGCAGAGGGCGCCTCGCCCGCGCCGCTGGCCGTGCTGGCCGGCAGCGCCGCCAACCAGGACGGCCGCAGCAGCGGCCTCACGGCGCCCAACGGGCCGGCACAGCAGGAGGTGATCAGGCAGGCACTGGCGGCGGCGGGGCTTGCCGCAGCAGACGTGAGCGGGGTCAGCACTCACGGCACGGGCACCAGCCTGGGGGACCCTATTGAGGTCGGCGCCCTGGCCGCCGTGTTTGGCGGCAGCAAGAGCAATGGCAGCGGTTGTTCCGCCGCGCCACTTATGGTGTCGTCCAGCAAATCGTGGCTGGGCCACGCTGAGCCAGCTGCCGGCGTGGTGGGCATGCTGGAAGCCGCACGCCAGGTGTGCGGCCTCGCGGCGCCGCCCATTGCCCACCTGAGGACCCTCAACCCCCTCGTGACAAGTGCCCTGAGCGGCGACGGCGGTCGCAGCTGGGCGCTGCCACGTCAGGCGGGCGGCGCGGCGTCTCCTGAAGCCGTGGCCCTGGCCAGTTATGGCGTCAGCGCGTTTGCTTTCCAGGTGCGTCGTGTTGATTTGCATCACAGGTCACAATGTCCGCCCTGTGCACGCTTACCGCATCTGCTGCCTGCCTGCCTGCCTGCCTGCCTGCCTGCCTGCCTGCCTGCCTGCCTGCCTGCCTGCCTGCCTGCCTGCCTGCCTATAATTCTCACCCCTATCCACCGCACATCCACCTCAAAACACATCCTTTATATGCACCTGCACCTCAGGGAACAAATGCCCACGTCATCATCACCGCCCCTGGCCCCAAGGCTAGCGCCACATCGACCCTCAGTGCGGCTCCTGCCACCTGGCAGCGCCAGCGCTTCTGGCCGCTGCCGCTCGCCAACGAGCTCGTGCGCGGCGCGGCCCTGAGGCACAGCAGGGGCGGCAGCAATGCGCCTGCGGTGGCGACCTTCCACTGCCAGCTGGGCTTGGACCTGGTGGCATATATGTGGTACCATCGCGTCGCTGGAAGGGCCGTGTTCCCTGGTGCTGGATTCTTGGTGCGACGGGCGGGGTCGTGCTTTGTGGAAGACTTGGATCATAGTCCAAGGACTGTGGTCAGAGGCAACCACTTGCAGATCAGAAGCCAACAAACAAAAGATCCAAAGGACCTCGGAACCAAGTGACTTGATCTGGGAACTCACAATCATAGGGCCAGGCTTGCAGGGTCCGAGGTTGCGGGTTTCTAGGTCGACAGTGACGGTTGACGCACGTGCTGTTTTGCCTGATTACTGACGCTTGGAACCGCTGCGCCGCCCCCAACGCTTCTGTTTTCACAGGAGTTGGCCGCGGCAAGCGCGCAGGCCCTGCTTGCCCAGCCGCGGCTGCCGTCGGCGCCGACGACCGCGCTGGCCGGCATAGCCATCCCAGCAGGGCTGGTGCTGCCGCGCCGCACCGCGGCGGGCGGGGCTGAGGCGCCGCCGCTGCTCGCCTGTGAGATTGACCTAAAGGGCGGCGCGCTGCGCATCGTCTCGCGCCCGACGGGGTCTGCTCGCCGCAGGACGGTACATCTGACAACGCAGCTGGCCGCCGTCCCGGCGCTCGAGCCGGAGCTGAAGGTTGCACCTGCGTCGGCCGGAAGCGCCGCCGCCGCACGGCGCCTGGCGCGGCTGCTGGCGGACCGCGTCCCAGCCCCCGACTTGGCCCGCGTTGCCGCGGCAGCGGCGGCGG